AAGTGTACTGGCTCATGCCTATGTTCCTGCTTGCCAGGTCCTCTAGTGGTAAGTAACAGCTATGCAGGTGTGAGACAGCATTAAGCCATAACCTGTGACTGCTGTGAAACTGTACTAACTTTATGGCAGCATAATAGTCCACAGGTTTAAAATGTAAGAGCACCCTAATATTTGTCTTCTCTGAGAAAAAAGAGAGACATGGAGAGAGAGAGAGAGAGAGAGAGAGAGAAATACATGTCAACAGTCTAACAATTTCAATAATTTGAATCTAAAAGAATCTGCTGAAAGCAAAGTTCTTGTCAAAATCAAAGCATCTGCTACTGTGCTTTACCATTTGTCAAGGAAGAAAAATAAATAACATGTTTCATAAGAAGCTTTTTGCCATCCTCACAGATTGGATTCAGGAAACCCAGATGCTATAGTGCTGGGCACTTAGAAATGCATGCAATAAAAATCCCAAGCCCAAATTCTTCCTTCAGTCACTATTGTGCAAAAGCATGCCTTTGAATTTTGCTCAATTATTTCTTATACTTAAACTCTCTTTAGTGAACTTGCAAACGTGTGAGGATATAATTTGTCCCTGAAATCTGAACTTCTAACAATGACACTGATGATGCAGGTAGCAAGACACACTCTTATAGCAGTGTGGGCTCTACTACTAAGACCTGGGAATGACACCAAACTAATTTTGTCACCCACAGATTCATAATTATTGTAGCATCTCAATGACTCAATTCTTTTAAGTACTTATCCTCATAAAAGTCTTTTAAGCTAGGGAGATATTATCTCCATTTTACCGATAGGGAATTAGGGCACACAGGATGATCTCCCTAGCATCACGGAAGTCTGCTGAAGGAAAGAGCTGAATCTGGACTTCTCACGAGGGACAATGCTGTATCTATCACTGTACAGTCCTTGCAAATATATTCAGGTTAAGGCAGAGTTTGAATTACACTTTGACTCCTGTGGGGGGGTCTGCAAAAAAACAAATGGCCAGGGTCGGGGCTGTGCGCACACGTTCCTGCTGGTACTGTGGGGTGGGGGCCAGCAGTGGTGGCAGCAAGAAGGGTTCATTGCTGCCTGGGCTGCTTAGAAAGGTGCAGGGCGGGCTGGGGCTATGCAAGGTGGTGCAGGGGCTCCAGGCTGTTGTTAGGGGAAGAGAGGTGCTGACCAGCCTGCAAGGGGGCTCTAATTTCTTATGAGGGGCTCAGCCCTCCAGAGCTCCCCTGTAATTTGAACCCTGGGTTAAGGACTAATCTGCCCTTTAGCTGCTTTAAAAGGGAAGGGGAGGTACTGCTCAGAGTATGCATGAGTTGTTAGGACATGGCTGTTGCTTCTGGATACAACAGTTTTGCTACACTTGTATTGCTAGAGAAACCTGCAGACATAATAGTTATATTGTAACAGCTCTTGTTGGTATCTTTTGATACTGATACAACTGTTTGTAGGTTTATATCCTCAGAGCAGAGCTATAAAAGCATTTTTTTATCATTATCTTCTGTACACAGCACTTTTGTATTAAATCAAAAGGACAGCCGTTTCATGATTAAACAGTATGGAAGAATATAGGTGGGTATTTCATTCTACCCCAACTTCCCTAAGGAGCTAGTTGGAAAGGGAAAAGAGAACCAGCCTTATATTGTACCATTTATAGCACTGTATTTAAGAATATGAGGACTATATTTGTCTGGAAATTTGCTGTTAACTTAGAATTGTAGGATGAAGCTTGCTTGTAGATGCACGTTAACTGTAGATGTAGAGGCACTTAAATATATAGAGAGAGAGATATGGTTACTGAACAATATATGTCCCTAAGCAATAAGGAGCAGATGTGAGAAAGGTGTAGAAAAATATCTTTAAAGATATTCTAAAACACCTCAGAGATGGTAGGTACACCTAGATTATGCTTGAAAAGGAAATAGAGGGTTTCATCATCATGTTTCTCCAAAATAATGAACATAGATGGCACCCACAATTTGCTGCTGGGTCCAGGAGAATAATAAGCACTTAATATTATTAGTATAGCTCCACTGATTTCAACCAGTTGATGAAAAACAGTTTCTAATGCACTAGAGATTTTGTTAAGACTCCAGATTTTAGTTTAGTTTAGTTTAGTTTATTATACTTTTTATTTTATTTTAGCTTTAAAATTAAAGAAATTGATCTGGCTTCAGATTCATGATTTAAGATGTTTTCAGAACTCCTCTATGGTATATCACTAGGAGCAGCTTATTACTTATATTATCCCTCCCAAAAAACAATATTATTTAAACCAGAACAACAAGACTTCAAAAGCGGTACTTCTCAGCTATAATTCTGCTCTTTTAAACATGTGTCTTCAAGTACCTCTCTACTGCACTATGATTATTTCCCAATTAATACAATATATAATGAAGACTTGAACTAAGTATTTGAGATAGGTTGGTGGGTATTTTTAAACTGCAACTACCTTAGATTTTCTTTGCCTGAATACTCTTTTTACAGTGTTCTTTGGCTTCCCTCCTGATATTAATACTGTTACATATTTCGAACTTTACCTCATTTAATAAAATTTTCTGCGTCAGTTGATGTTCATTTTCTAGTGGTAGAACTTCAAATTAAAAACTCTTAGATCCTTACTAATAGCTCTATGCTTTTGCTGGTTTTCCTGCAGTGCTGTGAAAGCATAGGAATTATTTTAAATTTGATATGATATATGATATGATATGATGATATATTTAATTTAGAAGAGGCCCTGAAATTTCTTAAATCACACTTAGTCCTCCTAACATGAACCATGCTTTATAGGGAAATCATCCTCTTTGACTGACAAATGTTGCATAAAATTAGGTAAGTACACAAGAAAACAAGTTCCTTCTTTTCAGTACTAAGGTCGCAACATATTTATAAGATAGCTTAATTAGCAGATATTATGCATTAGAGATGACACTTTCTGTACTGCTTTTAGTTTTATTAAATCTATTCCATTTAATAGGTAGGCTTGGATGAAGAAGCCTGGATGTATTTTGAATTTAAAAACAATGGCCATGGTTACAAGAGACACTTGTAGCCCATCACTACTGCACAGTAACGTTGGGTGGCAGGAAGCATGCTGCGACACTATTGCACAGTAGTCATGAGCTACTGTGCAGTCAGCATCATGAAAAAGCCATTCCTTAGTGCAACTGCATCATACTTGTATAAACAAGTACTAAATGACTGTGTAGACATGGCCAATAAGTACTTAATTCTCAGCTAAAACTCAAAGACCTTGTCCACACAAGCATGGATGTTTGTTTTCCCAGGGACAACTAGCTGCAGGACACCTTGTGCCACTGCTAGTTGTCCCTGGGAAACGACTCTGGCACATACCCTCTGGCACATGACAGGTTACCCCAGATGGGGTAGGGAAGGCTGGGATCAGCACTGGCCTTGCCTGTGGTCCTGAGGGCCTCCTGGGGCTGCAGTTGTGGCGATCCTGCTGCTCAGAGCCTGGCCGGCAGCTGGAGTGTGGCTCTGACTGACCAGGCTCTGGTTTTGAGTGGTGCATGCTGCCCCTGCATGCGCTGCCACTCTGCTTGTTTTTGTGCGGGTTTTTTTTTACCTCTAGATATGCAGGGGTCACTCACCTCCCCCCTGCACTACTCCCTTGCAGCACAGAGAAGAGCTGAATGTGTGGTATGTGGCACCACAGACACACATACTGCAGGGCCACACTCGTCTGGATGCAACCAAACAGTTCAAAAAAAGGTGGATTTAAGTTTTATTAAACTTCCTGTCTTTTACTGAGATCTGTGCCCATACACCAAACTACAATGAAATGGGTATTATCATGGCATTCCAGAGGTGAATAGAAACTGGGTGAGATCCCAAGCTATTTCTAGACTTCAGAGCTCATTTAAACATTCTGGTCCAGTTTTTCAGTTCTCTTACTGTCATTGAAGTACATAGAAGTTTTACCAGAAAAGAGAGTGCAAGACTGGACCGCTCAGGCTATGCCTGTCTAAAATGTAGCTTTGAATGTTTAAAGAGTATGCATCACTGACATTAACAGACACTGTTCATGCGTAGCCTGGTTGCTGTCCTTACTGAGCAGTCCTTATTGTGTATATTTAAAATGAAGGTGTTTGGCCAAAGTTCCATATTTTTATATTTATGAAATACAGCCAAAGCATTAGCTGATCCTATGAACTCAGTAAACAAGGCAGTACAAACTATGTATTGCTAATGCTATGGCTGCTTGACTGAACATATTGCCTCATTTTCCCATGGGCTCTATGTATCCAGCTTCCTTATGTCTAAAATGTTTCTACGGCTGTTTGTTCTGACCTCTATTAGTAATATGTATCTGGGTAGATGATCCCTTTCCTTTCCCCCTGGGGTTCTAAACCTCATCATTTCCATTTACAATAAAAGACACCCACTGATGGCTCCAGACTGCCAGTCTTGACTTAATTAACTATCTGCTGCTCAATATTTCCACAAAACTTGGTTTGTTCATTACTTAGATGAAAATGCTTATTATTCCCTCTCACTAAGGTACTAAATCTTACTTTTCAAAATCAACATTAAACACCTTTAGGAACTGAGTATGAATCTTCAAGAGCAGATGGCCTAGCAGAATAGTGGTTTAACTTACTGACTCATTTATTGCTTGGACCACAATTGTAGTTAAATAAATGACTAATCCTGCATG